TTTTTTTTTTTTWAACCTTGATGTTGCCTGAAGCAAGTTTCCCTGCTTCTCAATGGTTTCTCACTTTCAAAATGCATATAGCTATAAAATTATAAACTGAAAGAATTATTTAGAAAGTTATTTCSACATTATTGCCCTTCTGTACATGCCTCACCTTCCTAGACTCTTTAGGAGACTTGAGAGCAGTGATCAAGACAAAATTGCTCTGTTCACTAATTACTTGGAGTTGAATCCTGGATTATGATACAAAGATAAMTGTGGAAACACAAGGAGTTCAGATGTCGCTTCAGTGCTTTCAATTTTACACAGAACATGGTTGGAGATATTTTCCAAGCTTATCTGTTACCTGGCTGTCTATAGATGAGGGCTTTAAGGTTATATTCATTATACACTATATTGAGCCTTTCAGAAGATTTTTTTGTAGAAGACACAGAGTTAACCTGTCTTGAAGTAACCTGGGAATAATTTGGGGCTTAAAATACATTTTATATAGATATTCTTAACACTGAAAACACAATTGCACTGGATACACTATTTTATTCCATTGCAGAAAAAGGAAAAACAGAACAAGCTCTAGAGGCATCTCAACTTTATTTGCGATTAGTAGCACCAAATATCCGAGAAGAACTGCATAGACTGCTGACATTTATAGCCATTGCATCAGAACCTGAGGGCTACAAATTACAGAAACAAGTACGTATCTGTTATCCTTAGTGTGGGAAATAGCACCTTGCCTTAGTGAAGCTAGTAATTTTTGTCAGGAGTTAAAAATTATTTATTACCTTCTAATGTGATCTATTTTAAAGCAAATCTCAATATGTTCTTCCTACGCTGAAAGCCTCCTCTTAATTTAATCTTTGGCTACTGCATTGCAAGCAAATATAATGCCAACTCTATGTTCTTTTTCTAGTTTGATAATAGATCTGTGATCATCAAGATTTGTACAAAGTTCATCTTACAGAGCAAGACATTGTCAAAATCACAACTAGAACTGCTGGTTCAGTTTCTGATGGACAATCACTCTGAGCTCTTCAAGGTATTTTTTTTTTCTCCTTACCTTCACTACTTTGTCAGTTTACATTTAAAGTARCATATAGTGGTTTTATAGGGATTTATGGTCATTCCAGGCGATGGGGAAATGCTTTTCTGTTAACTTGATTGTCTGTGATATACAATATTCTGTCTTTGTATTCACTTTGTTTTCATTAAGAAAGTATTTTGAGTATGTAAAAAAAAAAGTTTCAGATTTCTTTTGGCACCTTGTCTTTGTTTTTTTCCTACTGTGTTTTTGACTGTCTTACAATGTTCTTTGGAAGTCTGTTGAAATATCCTGGATTGTATATCAAAAACATTCTTGGTGTCCTAGCATGCATTCAGAGCTTTTTTAACTCCAGGAGCTCCTGAAGTGTTATGAAAAAGTAACTTCTAAATTAAAGCAAATAATTATGACCTCAAAATGAAATGGCCTTCCTATTTAATCATGTTTGGTTATATAAATACTTTATTGCCTGCTTTAGTAACATTCCAATGTAATTTGTCAAATCAGGGGCCTGGAACATCTGCCCTATGAGCAGAGGCTGAGGGAGCTGGGCCTGTTCAGCCTGGAGAAGAGAAGGCTGAGGGGGGGCCTGATCAGTGTCTATAAATACCTCAAGGGAGGCAGTGAGGAGGGGGGCGGCCTCTTTTCAGTGGTGGMCAGCGACAGGACTAGAGGAAACGGCCACAAGCTGAGGCACCAAAAGTTCCACAGGAACTTGAGGAAAAATTTCCTGACAGTGAGGGTGACAGAGCCCTAGAACAGGCGCCCAGGGAGGCTGTGGAGTCTCCTYCTCTGGAGGTCTTCAAAACCCACTTGGACACAGCCCTGTGCCACGTGCTCTAGGTGACCCTGCGTGWGCAGGGGGTTTGGACTAGATGATCTCTGAGGTCCCTTCCAACCTTGGGCATTCTATGATTCTATGAAATATATGAAAAGATCAGCCTTCCCAGATCTTACATTAACTTGCTGCATTTTAACCAATAAACTGGAGTGGATAATGCTTCTCTCCTTTTTCTTTTATGGTTATAAAATTTCTCAATAAAGYCCTAAACTAGGTAGTTCAGATAATCTTTGCTATTACATAATAGATGTAAAATCTGGTAAATGTAAAATTGTGTCATTACAGGTRAGACTCACAGAAATATTTGTTGGTTTCAATAAAATGTTGATTTTAATTCTTACACAAATATTCATTTCCATTTCTGCCCTCTGAAAGTTAAAATATTTAGGAGTAAGATTATTTTTTGCTTTTTCTTTGAGTTTTTTTTATTTTTTGCTTTTTCTTTGAGTTTTTTTAATTAGCTTCAGTTTAGTTTGGAGGTAATAAGTGATAAAATTCTGAGTTTTGTGCAAGTTCTCTGTACATCAGACTCAACCTCTTGCCTTTGTGTGAGACTAACTCCTCTTTATTTGATCAGAAATTCAGAAATAATCAAACATGCATGTGTGCTTTGGTGCAATTTTGTGGATATTTTAAGTTTATAATTGATTAAATACAGTAGCCTTAGTCATCAGCAGTTAATTTTTGTTGTTTTAAACTGATGATCTAAAAGCTATGGATTCTTAAAATACTTAAAGTGCCTTTTTTGTGATTATTCTTTATGGGGTTTATGTTTTTCAGACTCCTTTAACGCTTCTGGAACTAACTAGTAGGAGACTTGAAGGCTTGCTGGAAGGACAAGATGCAGATATAAATTCAGGTAGGTTGTATGATGATGCATGTTCTTATTGATCCTCAACTGACTTATGTTTGAATATTGACTAAAATTTCACATTGAATACATTCCTCTATTGTGAAAAGAGCATGGAAATGACTAGGTAAATAGTCAAGTAGCTAATTCACCAAATAATTAAATTGCTTAAACTAAAACAATGGACCTTGAGCACTGAGGAAAAAGGTTTCTCTGAATTCTRTAGTCTGAAGTCTGAACATACTACAGATAACTTTCATTAAGTAGCTAGTTCCTAGGAAAACGGTTCAAAATAGGTTTTTTTTGGTTTTTTTTTTTTCCCACCTGAAATGCCTTGCTTCTAGTCTGGAAACTTCTTGACTTGAGAATCATGCTCATAGCTCAATAGTTAGAGGTGCTAATAGATGTCCTGAGCATAGACCGTGATGATTTGTTTAGAGTTTTAAAAAATCTTTTTTCCGTCTCTTGATTAGCACAAAGGTTATTAAGATCTTCAGACTTACAGAAGTATTATAGCCTAAAAAGAAGCCATTTGACCTCTGTTACATGACTGGAATTAAAGTATTTTTCATCTCATTCGTAAGTGCGGTTTGGAGGCAGTTTTTCCCCCTGGCCTTTATTTGCACACTGTACTGTGTCGTGCCATGGTCCTGATGCACTCGCAAGCAGCATGACAACTGCAAGGTGGCAGGTCTTGTCTTGCGTAGCTTCTTCTGGATGGCTCCTGTTTGCAGGACTTGTATCCTTTCTTTACTTTGCAGGCCTCTTTCCCATACCAATCTCCTGTGACCTYCCACTTGTTACACTGCTTTTCAATTTTATTTTTGCAATCAGTGTTTATATGTTCATGCATGCTCAATGCAGGCCTGTGCATTTAACCTCATTTGCAGAGAACTGTAGCTGCATCTGAACTGGAATGTTAACATACCTGTGYTTGATAATCTCTTCAATCATGGAGACTCTTATATAATGTATAAAACTTAATTGAACTTTCTGGTTTCTTGTAAAGGCTTCACCTTCTGTCAGCGTTTGACACCTAAAGAATATGAAGATCAAAAACAACAAACAAATCAGTATCTTCTGGCATTAGTTCAAGAAATGGACAATGATCCCACTCTTCCTCTGAAGCAGAAAAAGAAAATAATTAAGGAAGTTCGGAAATACCATTTTCTCAAATTTTGTAGTGGTTGTAAAACGAGATGCAAATTTTGCACTTTAAATGGTTAGCCTTTGGTACGCTATGTTTTAATAAGGCAGGAATGGRTATGAAAAATGCTCATGATTATTACTTACAGGTACAAATCATGTTCTGCCTGTATCTTAATCTTCAGTTGCAGAAAACTATCATAAAGTACTGTGCAGTTAATTATTAATGAATGGCTCTTGGCAAAAAAAGTACTTTGATGCATCCATCCACTCAATAGTGGCACATGGCTTGTGCTGCTTTGAGTTCAGGTTTCACACTTCTCCCTTCTCTTGGTATGGTTTTCTAGCTGAGCTAAGGCAACATTCAGAGCCTTCCTTGCACTGCTAATCTGCAGGATGTTTTCTAACCTTTTATTTCTAGTTTATAATGCAGTTTGAGGACCATGCAATTACATGTCATGACTTCAAGTGTTGTAGAAGCAGATAAAGAGGGTCAAAAGTGTCAGGTCAGCCAGCCTGCCTTTTAGTCACTAGTAGGCAAGGCTGCTGGGGGGAACTGCATAGATTTGCAGTTGGTAATTGTAGCCCATTATCGCCTCCCTATGGAGACAAGCTTTGCAGCTGCTGTGCTGCTAATTCCTTGAGAGCAAGTTCAACCGAGACATTTGTGGGACGAGGGAATTGAGAAATCTTAAGTCTCGTTTTGAGTCTTCTGCTACACTTGATGTTCAGGCTATTGAGCATGAGGAGACTTTCATGTGTCCCTAGGCCTGACAATTATTTACTGTAAACACTTGGACGAGGTTCTGTTTGTCCCACAGGGCGTAGGGCAAAGCTTGTGAGTCTGGGGTATGTCAATCTGATAGAGGAGCATGGGCAAGGAAGGGTGGATTCAAATTATGAAATATACAAGATAATGTTATGGAGATTGTTTCAATCATCATGGAAAACATTTAGTTATTTATAAGGCATAGAACTGTAGAATCATTGAGWTTTCTAAGAACCCCTGGTCATCCTATAGTCCAAGCTTCCTCTGCTGAAAGCAGAGTCCACCAGTGCGTGCTGCTTGGTGCTGTGTTCAATAGGATTTTTGAGCCTTTCCAGGGATAGGGACCCCACAGCCTCTATGGGCAACCTGAGCCATTCTCTTGGCTTTAAGGTTTTGACTACTCACAGTAAAAAGATTGGGTTTTTTGTCTGTTTTGCAGGTTTTTTTTTTTTTTCTGTCGTTATGCTTAAGTGGAATTGACTGTATTTCACCTGCTTGGCTTGTCTCTTCCCTGGGTGTCACTGACAACAGCGAGCCTGTCTTTACTTCTTCCCATCACGYATTTATATATGTTCACAAAGAGCCCCCTGAACCCTCTCTTGATGTTAAACAATCCYGGCTGCCTTCTACATCTTGTGCTGGTTCTCAAATCCGGGTCAAATAACCASGATATCAAAGATTTCTGAAAACAAGCACTGTTTTCTCTTCTTTGACAAATGTTGAATCTGGGTCTCTTAAGTAGTCCTCATAAGGGCTTTAGCCCTGCTGGCAGTCAGGTGTCAGACCCAAAACCTCTGCCTCCCTGCTATTTTATACAGCAGTCACTCGACAGTGCCTGGCTGATCTGAAATACAGGAATAGTTTCTAGAGGAGGAATAAGCCGCAGGTCAACCAACCCTTTCAGGCTTCTGTGCAGTTAGTAGCCACAGGGCCACATGGAGCTGGGTCTGGTTTCTCTTGCTGTCGTCTTTTTGTTGGTGGTGGTTGGCTGAGTGGTTTGTTGTTCTGTCATTCTCCCAGAAGCCGCGATGCATGGAGAATGAGGAATGCAAAATTCTGAACAGGGAAAGTATTTGCTCAGTTAAATGCCTCTGGTATTTAAATAAGGGGTGAAGGAGGTTTTCATTTCTTTTCTGTCTAGTGCTGTCTGGTTTCTTTTTTGTTCAAGCATTTTACTAGGTCTTGCCCAAAATACTGATGTTGGTAACAACGAGAGATTATGTGATAATCTATGAGGCTAATAAAATGGGAATGGATTTTTAAAAATATATTTTTTCTTCTAGTTTCTTGAACTTTGCAACTTGGACACTTTTATGCTAATTTAAATGATGAATAAAACCATGCTATAGAGGTGGTGATTTGTCTTTCCTTTTCATAGTGCTTTCATAAGGCTGAGGCAGCTCAGCAGCTAGGGCTAATGTAGGGAAAGGGTTCAGGTGAAGAGCAGAAGGATTTGCAGCCACCAAGTGCTTTGCTTCAGCTGATGGGTCAAAAAAAGGCCAAGACAACTGTAACTTTACAAGTGGCACAAGATGCTCACACTYGATAGCTTACATTGCCTATACAGGCAGGGAACCTGCCTTTAAATTCATGTCTTTGAAGCTTGTTCTTTCTGTTAATTTTATATGATCTCTCTGGCTTAATGTAAGCTATTWTGGGGGGGGACAGTGAGGKGGACTGAGAACTAGCTGGMTGGCAGAGCTCAGAGGGTGCTAAGKGGGGCTGAGTTCAGTGGGAGGCCTGTGGCCAGGGCTGTCCCCCAGGGGCCAGTGCTGGGMCCAGTCCTTTTCAACTTCTTCAGCAATGACTTGGACATGGGCACRGATGGCACCCTGAGCAAGTTTGCAGMTAATACCAAGCTGGGGGGAGTGGCTAACATTCCCGAGGGCTGTGGTGCCATTCCGAGGAACCTGGACAGGCTGGAGAGTTGGGCAGAGAGGAACCTCCTGAGGTTCAACAAGGACAAGTGCAGAGTCTGGCAGCTGGGCAGGAATAACCCCAGGCACCAGGACAGATTAGGGGTTGACCTGCTGGAGAGCAGCTCCAGGGAGAGGGACTTAGTGTCAGCCAGGACTCCCAAGTTAACCATGAGTCAGCCCTGCTTTTGGGGCCAAGAAGGACAATGGGATCCTGGTTGCACCAGGAGGGTGGTGCCAACAGGGTGAGGGAAGGATTCTGCCCCTCTCCTCAGCTCTGGTGAGGCTGTACCTGAGTACTGGGTGCAGTCCTGGGCTCCCCAAGCCAAGAGGGATGTGGAGCTTCTAGAGAAGGTCCAAGGTGGAAGAATGAAGATGATTAAGTGACTGCCCCTTCTTATGAGCTGGGCCTGGTTAGCCTCAAGAAGAGGTTGAGAGARGATCTGATCAATATATGTAAGTACCTGAGGGAAGAATGTTGGAGGGATGGGGCCAAAATCTTCTCAGTGATGGCCAGTGCCAGGACAAGGGGCARTGGATAGAAGTTTAAACACAGAACTTCCATTTCCATGTAAGGAAGATCTTATTTCCTATGAGGATGCTAGAGCCTTGCAACAAGCTGCCCRGGGAGTCTCCTTCTTTGGAGGTCCTCAAAACGACCTCTATGCCATCCTGTGCCACAGGCTCTAGATGTCCATGCTAAAGCAGCAGCATTGGATGAGGTGGTTGCTAGAGGTCCCTTCCAACCTTAACCCTTCCATGAAGATAGGACAAGTGTTTAAATGCATAGGTTCTGCTAAAAGAGAACCCCTGCTCATAAATTAACTGACTGCACAATAAAGTAGAGCTCTCAAAAGCTTTCTCYTACCCTCTGCTATCTAGATCACTCACCACTCAGGCAGGTAACATCTCCAGGGTTAGTCAGGGTATCTCGAAATTCTCTCACGTTTCTGAGGCCACAGCTTGAGACTGCAGTACAAGAAAAGGTTTCAGGACCCTCATCTCAAGTACCACTCAAGCCGTTGAGGAAGAGCTGTGGTGACTTCTRAGGAAGAGAGGAAGGACTGAGCCTCAGGACTCTAGTCTGATCTTGTCATGTCCTCTCTTGTCCTGAATATAGTAATGAGAGGCCACTCTTGTAACTACAGGCAGCACTATAAAAAGGTCTATGGTTAAGTGAATAGTGGGGTGGGGTGAGGGGTTTATACCTAAACATTACATTCAGATTTTTTTTAGGGGAGAAATCTTACCTAACTTCRCAGCTTCCCCAAAAAGGCTGCCAAAGTCTCCCCAGGCCCAAGAGGCCCTGAAGTGCTATTTGAGTTGCATATAAACAGTTAACTAGCACCTCAGCCTGCATTCAGTGCTCATCTCTAACCCCGGGGGAGCCTGCTGCACTTTCCTCCTTCATTCTCCCCCAGAATCATCCCTCTCCTCTACTTCCTTTACTTGCTCTACAAGCTGTTGCCATCCTCCTTGTGCAGCTTCCTTCCAATCTCCCTTTCTAAAGGGTGCAGCATCCATGGCAGGTCCAAAATGAAGATTATTCATGGTGGAAAACTACAGTTTAAGACATAATGAGAAGAAATCAAGATAACTTCACACAATATGAACATGCATTCACTATTTTTATTGTTTCATGCTTGTAAGGAGTTCTTGCACAGTAAGAATACAATGAAGCTGTCATTAAAAGATGAAAGTGCAACAAACTAATACACATCTTCCATAACATTAGACTTTAACATCTTATTTAATCCTGAAAAAGAATATGTTCACAAACGAGAGGAAGGAAAGTTAAAACACAGTCCTAACCCACACACAGTTTCATGTAGTTCAGAAAGCTTCCATGTTTGGTGAAAAAAAATGGAACAACACTATACCCAGTTATGCTATATATCAAATTTCTCTTCACAGATAGTGTGGCCATGCTCTTCATAGTCTTCTCTAGTTACTACCATATCTTCAAAATCATCATTTTCAGAAATAAGTTTCCCACCTTCCCAAGAATACGTAATAGGACTAAAAAAAAAAAAAAAAGGTAATTAGTCTTCTGTAAACTCACTTAAAATGAAGTATGCAATAAACATCAAGACATGCCTGTAACCACATACATTAATAAGACAACATTAACAAAACTAGCAAAGTCTGTCAAAACAATTTTTCTCAAAACAGTTCAGTAGCTGAACAGTTAGATTTGAATTTAGCCATCAGAAGTTTCACATTTTAGCAGGACTGACCCACAGTGCCTTACTGGAGGCACATATGAAGCGGGGGGTGAAATTAGGAGCTTAAACTACCTATTTACTTTTACTCTTTACTGCTTCATGAATACAGTTGATAAACTACAGAGTTTGTAAGTATATCTTTTATATGTATATATACACACTTTGTGTATATATATTTGTATATTTGACAATATACAGTCTTGTCAAATTACATTTCTTGCCTCAACTGTTCACATTTTGCATAGCTATTACAAATTCCTCAAGTGRCTACATGAATAGCAATTCATATAATTGAAGGTTTTCTTAGAAATTTCTGAGACTAAGCTCCTCTCTAAAGTATTTAGATATCTGCTTCACTTAGTGACAGCCTTAAGTTTATGTACAAGTGTTTTATAGATCAGACTTACTAGGCAAAGTACAACAAAAGCAGGTGGTCTCTCATCTATTCAGTTTACCCCCAAAAAATCACTTAATAAAAACATCTTTCTTGTACAAGTTGGACTTTATCTTTAATCCTTTTACTCACTCTAAGTATCTTTTCAATAAGCAAAAAAGAAAAAAAATCCTACTTCAGAGTTGATTCTGCTGGGATAACAAAACTTGTCCTGCTGTTTGGGACTTACTTTTCAGGAAGAACAACAGAAACATCATAATCAGTTGGGGTGAGACATCGAACTTCAGAATAGACCCGATCTCTGAAGCCTGGGAAAAGGGTGTTTCCTCCGGTCAGAACGATGTTCTTGAAGAAATGAGGCTGCATTTCTTGAAAATCAATAATCCTTAGTTAGAGACTACATCATTATTTATAACATTTTCCCCCAATTTTGTTACAAACTAGAAAAGGAATAAGAGATACACAAATAGCTGATACTTTAATATCCCTTACAGTTATTTCTCCTCTTCTTTTTTTCCAATGAAAAAGAAACATTTTCAGACACCAAATAATGATCAAAGGTATTTCGTTTGCATTAGAAAGGYTGGGAAGAATTCAGTCTACAGTGACTAACTGGAAGAGGGGTGGAAAATAACCCAACAGCAGGAAACCTGTGTTTGCATAAGAGGGAATCTTGTAGGCAGTTATCATTTCTTGGGAGTGTACAACACAGGCTGGAAGGTAGGTCACTACACTTTAGTAACAGACATAGTGGGAGTACTAAGTTCCTAAGACACTTTGTATGCTTTAAAAAATAATTATTATTTAAAAAAAATAATTGAAGTTGTACCTTCAGGTAAGTTCTGAATGGAATGGACAATAGCTTCAGGAATTCCCATTTCTTGAATGCCAATATCTGAAGGATGGAAGAGTATCTCTGGAACTGCAAATCTTTCATTTGTTAGACGAAGCGTTTGTTCACCAGTGCTGTATTTTCCACTTGCCACCATTTCCTCCCTTGGCTATAGTAAAGACATGAACAGTAACCACCTTTTAGGAAAATTTATTCTCTAGTGGCTGATTTACTGCCTGCCACTGTAGTAAACGAATCATTAGTTACATTTTAAATTAATTCATATTACAAGCAAATCTTTTCAAAATATGCTCTAGAATACCTTCTAGTCTTCACTCTAATCATTTAGAGAACTCTATTGTATAGATGACATATATATAATATATATATTAGTTAAGAACGAATTTATTACTTTGAATACTTTGTGATAAGTGCTTTGGTATTAAATCTGTAGCAACTTATGCCCTTATCAATTCAATTTTACACTGAACTTTGTATCTATCAAAGTATTTACATATTATTCAGAGATTCGTCATACTGCATCCAACAATGGTGCTATATGATAGTTGATAAAAGCTTAAAGTTGACAAAAGTTGATAGCTGCAAAAGCATAGAAAGTTGCAAGCACAGAAAAAAAAAAAAAGAAGAAAAAAAGTGTCTCCATTCTACCAGCCTAGACTCTTAAAAGGAAAGTAAAGTCAGGAGAGAAAAAAAAGTCTTGTCATCATTACCTTGCAAAATCCTTTTTTAATTGTGCTGAAGTCTGGCAAAACATAATCTACCATTACTGTATTTTCTTCTCCTTTCAATCTGGAAGGGAATAATATAGAAATGTTGACAAGTTCTAAATCCCAGCAGTTTTATT